CGCTGTTATGGCAGAAGATGGAACATAGCTGCTCGATGCTGTTTGGTTGCGAAAAGAAACGGAGACACAACACCTTAGTGCTTACTGGTTTTGGCACGGTGCGATGGCAGCACAGCCGCCTGTTGCCCGGTCGAGAAGTGAGGGAAACCTCTCCTTCGTGCCTATTGTTTTTCCCGTGCTCTTGTCGTCGTTCTCCTTCCCCTCTTTGATTTCCCTCCTCCTTCTCTCCAATGAAAGGAATTCTTTTGCTCTTTTTTTTTCTCCTCAGGTGCAGTCCCTCTTCCCGAATATAAGCATAACCCTCCTTCCAAAATAGAATTTGCAGGTAGGGACTCAAAGTCCATAGGAAAATCTTCCAGGGTGTGGAAAGTCTAAGGGTTAGGATTAAGATGTAGAGGGTAATACCCCCCCTCCCTTTTCAAGAAATAAACCCTTTTTGATAACTCATTCAAATCCAAAGTTCATAATAATGCATTCTCCTTTTCTTTTTATTAGAAGCACATAAATAAAAACAAAGTGGGCCTAAACTCCAAATATGTAAATGTAATATATAAATCTATATATATATATATATAGATTTAGAGCACGCTTGCCATGCGCTGACGAGACGGAGATGGAGATAAGGAATACTAACGTGGTTGGAGTAAAGAAAATTCCAGGTGTTACAAGAACACCATTCCATCTGTTAGATCTCGACACCCTCTTACTCCCAGTCAACAAACATTACTGACCCTGATGAAGGCATATTTCCAAAATTCTTATACCTTGACCTGAAACCAAACAACCACCATTGAAACTGTTAGACCCCATAACTCATATTTGTAAAAGTAATGAAAAACAACAAGTGTGAAAGAGCAGAAGGCCGATGGAAGACTTTCAAGCAAAAAGACTAAGTGTCCAATACAACTAGAGGTGCGATGACCATCCAGAGGTGCAACTGCGCATCTCCATAACCCCTCTGGTTACCAACACTTGGAGTTTTCTACGATAGTTCAACCAGAGGCACCCGATGAATAAGATCACAGAGACTTGGTTGAACACACCCCATAGAAGACAACTGGAGATGGCAAATCGACTGCTGGATTCTTCAGTCCATACTTAGATTTATTTGCTTTCCATTAGTCTAGATTGCTTTCCTTTTCATAAGAGATTTGCTAAATATCTTCCATAGATAGCAATCTCCATAATTAGCTTTCTGGTATATATAGGCTTTACCTTTCATGTAATCCTTTACGCTTTTTCGCCAAATCATTTGAATAAAATGAATCATTCGACACTCAACTATATTCTTGAATATTATTATTGTGTTCTTGTGTGTTTTTCACTTTTTCCATTTACACGACATATTTAGGTTATTCATAGCTTAAATATCAGTGTTATTGAGAGATCTGGGATCAACAATTGGTATCAGAGGCAATTGATTGTTCTTCAATCAAAACGATCATATCAAAATCTCTCAATTCGTTTTTCCATTCATTTTAAATTCGAGTTCATACTCATCTTCTCCAAAAAGTGCACTTTTCTTCTCTTAAAAATCTCTAATGGCAAACTGTAATTCTGCATATAGTGTAGGTTCCCTCACCAAACCTCCAACTCTTCAAGAAGAAAAGTATCCGCAATGGAGGATAAGGATGGTGAACTTTCTGGAGGGGATGGACAGGAATCTTCTCAGATCTGTCATGGAGAGTCCTTACATTTCTCAGACTCTTGTTCCAAGAGTCCCAGGAACGAGCACTACTGTAGAAGTTGCTGCTTACTTCATGCCCAAAAATGAAAAGAATTGGGACGAGGATGACCTGGAGCGTGTAGAGGCAAACAGAAAAGCTAAGAGGCTGATCATAATGGCCATTCCCAATGACATATTTCAATCCCTCGATGCATGCACCACAGTGAAGGAAATATGGGATGAGCTGGCGAGCCAACTGGAAGGAGGTGCAAAAATGAAGAAAAACCATAGGGCTCAATGCCTAAACAAGTACACAAATTTCAAGGCTCTCCCTGATGAACCGATTCAGAAGACTTATGATCGTTTCAACACATTGATCAATCAATATCACTGAAATGACATCTGTAGGATGAAGTAAGAAAACAACGTTCTGTTTCTCAAGAGTCTCGTTGATGAGTGGACTGAGCTGTCGATGTCCCTCCAAGCAAATCAGGACTTAGACAGTTGGTCGCTTCATGACGTCTCTGGAACACTTGCTGCACAAGAAAAGGACATAATGAAGAGAGAAGTGTCCATCGATGGACCTCTTGCCCTTGCTGCAGAAGAAAAAGAAGTTTCAAGGATCTCCACTAGAGAACAAAGAAAGAAGAACAAGAAGGAACTCATAGTAGAGTCAGAATCTGAAGAAGAGCCATCTGATTCTGATGATGACCTTAAAGCCTTCGCCAAATCTCTGGCCTTGATAACGAAACAGTTCTAGAAATAGTTCGTCAAAAAGCCATATGAAAGAAGAGACTCCATAAGGGAGAAGTACCAGCCGTCATATGACCAGAAGCCAATGAAGTTCCATCAGAAGGAAGAAAGAAGAGAGGGAAGAGAAGAAAGAGAGGAGAGAAGAGAAGAAAAAGAGAAGATGGTAGGAAAAATGATCTTCGTTGCTACAGATGCGGGAAGATAGGACATTTTTCAAAGGAATGCAGAGGACGCTTGGTGAAGGATGCTGACTACTATAAAAATAAATACAAGTACAATGCGAAGGAGCGAAGCCTGATGGCTGAAAAGGAAAATTGGGTGTCTGATTCTTCGTCTGATTAAGAGGACAAGGCACTCATATGAAAAGATATGTGACCGTTCCATCAATGAAACCAACTATGCTC